GTTTCGCAATATTCAGACCGTGTCGTATGAGAATTACGCTCTTGAAACACGGCGTTACTTACTAATTACTCATGCACCCATATAATCACGTTAGACCCGTAATTCGTAGAATAATTTTCCATTACGGATTGGGTAGTTACTCAGAAAGGACAGCGCGTTTGTTTACCCGACTTCAATTTCAAAACAGAAACAGGGAAATAAACGAAACTAACGATAGGTACTGCGCGACCGTTACCGCTGAATTTCAATTAAAATCGCGCGAAAGCTAAGCAAATCCGACTGAGGTGATCGATCACCGTGGGAGTACTGCCGTATTTACCTGACTTTTAAGCAAGGAGCATCGCGTCGTGTCGTGCCAATAGATCATTGCCACCGTATTACGGGTTACGGGGGCAGCAACAATGGGGCAAACAGTGGGATATATGCCCAACACATGGGACGGTTTATTGGCAGAAAGAGATCGTGTCCTCCACTGGAGTGGAGAGGTTTTATCTAAAGTCGCTGATAATATAAATCAAGAAGATTCGTGGCTGATCGAATACAATAACGAGAGCATCGACAAGAAGATAGATTCCTGGATGGAATCGAATCAAGCGAGGGTCGACAGGTTTTTCAGTAAACATCCAGACCTACCAGATACGTACAAGGCTGCAACTGCGTTCAAATTGGCTCAAGTAATTATTTCAATGATTTATACCATTTGGTATAAACATAATCTATTGACTGGTGTAATGTGTGCAGATAAGAGAACTAATTAGATTAAAGATGAGAAACAACTATAGTCGCAGTTACAAGGACATGAGAAAATTCACGAGGATGGTAGACAGATTGGGGGAACGGCAACGTAAAATTCATGGGAAAATTCAGAACCTTGAAAGCATGTACGATTGGGACGTGAAGAAGTTTCAAACAAAGTTTGGACCTCTGCGCGTGAAAACGTTTAAAAACCTTAGAATAGGTGAGAAAATGATGTTTCAAGACCAGAGGTTGAAGACACGATTCGCTAAACGGGTAAGAATTCTTATTTCACGGTCGCAGATTTTATAAACGATAATAACTGCTCATATTTATTTTCTAATATTAGGTGTGTCACATTGACCATAAAAATATGACAGAATGTACAAAATACGTAGATAAATGGATAAAGATTATGGAAAAACCTACTCTTAAGTGATTATGACAAATACAATGATTAAATGAATAAGAGTACGAATGGAGTTAATTTAAGTAAGCGAAAATTGCGTAGACGCTTGATAAAAGAAAACAGACTTGTAATGTAAAGAACAAACTGTACAATACAAATTAAGCAACTTGTATAGGTACAGAATTAATCTAGATTTGCATGTAAGTCTGAAACGTATAGAATGAGTATAAAATAGTAATAATCTTATTGTTAAGTATTAAATGTAAAAAGTAAATGTTAAATAAATTAATAAAAACTGATTTACCAACGATAATATCGTAGACCTGGCCATACTCATTGACAAACCTTGTTTTATGCATTAATTATATCGGAAACATCGTTAAGTAAAGTTATGCACGGCACGCGGTAACTGCATCAATACAGTCAGAAATTACCGGCAGCATTTCAGTAACGATATTAAGTCATCTTCAATTCATTTCTTGTGCCGCGTTAAGAAACTCGCGTTTCTCACCGCGAATTCGCGTTAGTCGAATTTTAGTAATGCGACTATATAAGAGATAGATAGGTAAGCAGAACAGAACAATTTCCCGAGTGATTATCCGACGGACGAAATATCTCAGAGGAAAGCAGAAATTATCGTACAACATCTCGAACTCATTTAAGAAAATACGACGCTCGTAAAATCTGTCTCGCTTGTAGAACGTACAATGTACGATGTGTCAGTCGCGATTATTTATAACAAAATCTATTTCCACGTGTCAGTAATAATGCTATTTTAACACGGTTACGATCGATTCCGAGGGAGAAAATACAATAACTGATTTCTAAGAATGCACGGGGAAGATTTCACACGCGTCATCCCCCTGCGTACGACGTAGCATGAGAATACAGCCACAGAATTATAT